TATATGTTGTTTGGTCTCCTTGCTTGTTGGCTAGACAATCGATGATTTCTGGTGGTACTGCTCCGTTCGTCTATTTTGTCCATATCCATAAGCTCTCAGAAGACGTGCACGAATACAGATGAAAATGAACACAGAGTAGGGGCGGTGGAAGGGGCAGCCCTTTTCCGTATCTTACGATGAGCTTAAATTGGCAATAAGGTTGACACTGTAACCTGCATAAAATACATTATAAATTTTATTCATGTCCATCCAAGATAATTGTAACTTAGGTGGTATACAAAATAAAACCTATTTATTAAACATGGTATGTTTTTGATATAGTAAACTTTCACCTGCTATACGATTTTAAATAACAGTCCAGGGAGGCACAATGACTTAAGCTTAGAGGCATTTTGGACCTGCACTGCAACAACTGCTCTGATGCGGCTGAATATTCATCTCTTTGTGGTGACAGGGTGCTGCTGAGCTGCAGTGATGGGTATTTGCACCAGGGTAGAGGGCAGGTGCTGAGAAGAGAGTGTCTACTGTCTGTTCCAGATGCAACAGGCCACCAGTAAAGATAGTGTCACTTGGAGTAGGGTCACAGGCTGATCTTAAACATTGCGTCACATCCCACCATCTCTTTTTTCTTTTTCTTCATTCTCATCTCTCTGTGTCTCTCTCCATTTATCGCTCTGTCCGCCTTGCCTCTGCCTTCTCTAATGATGCTCTCTCTCTCTCCATCATTCAGATCAGTCGATTCCTTCACCTTGATCTCTGTGATGAACCGGGGAGATCTCCTGCTCTCTCTCTCTTTCTCTTTCTCTTGCTCTCTGTCATCCCCTCTGGTCTTCATCCCTGCTTTCACTCTTCCTCCACTTGCCCATTACTCCCCTTTCTTTTTTAGCTTTCATCAGATGTTGGCTCCCTTATCTCATCTGCATTCTCTTAATCAGCCGCTGTCAAATCACCCTTGTGATCCCATTTCATTTCATCCCGTCTCTCTTTCGTCCTCTCCCCGTCTCCGCGCCTGTCTTGGCCTCTCTCATCTGTCTTAGCAACCATCTGATCATTCTGCCAGTGTAGATCTTCGGCCCACCTGATCAAATCTTACCTCATGGCTAGCTGGGCTTCGGTGCTCTAAATGAGGATAAGGGCCTCATGCCTTGTCCCTCTCAATCACAGTTAGCAGCCATGCTAAAGTCCCACAGTCCCTCCCCATTAGTCAGCGGGGTGAGTGATAGGCGCCACGAGCAAATCAGACACCAGAAAACGAGGTATAGGGGGAGCATCCATTTCCCCAGGCTGTCATCCCACAGGCTATGCAGCAGTTGTGACAGGTGATCTGCCTAAAAACTGGGAATGTGCGCCCTAAAGATAAAGTTAGGTCATTTAATTTAGTTAGCAGACCATCAAAGCAATACAGCTCTATTATATTTTACAATTTTTTATTGTTTCACATATACTTAGCTTGTATTTGCTTCTGTTTAATTATCTTTCCATCCCTATTCTCTTTCTGAGTTTGTTTTGCCTCGTCTTCCTGTCACCTCTCTGTCTTCCACCTTAATGACAGGCCTTAGACGGCTACAAAATAGGACGTGCAGCTGAGGAGAGGCAGATAGGAAGTGAGATGTTGGTGCCATAGGTGCTTTTGATGGACAGCTTCGGTCTACACAGCTGACACAGTGTGTTTTACTGTTTTGCTTTATATTATTTTGAGGAGGACCCGTAGCTGCATGGTTCTCTGCTTAACTGGGTTCCCTGTGTTTATCTCCATCTCACCCGCTGTTCTGTCCTGTCAGAGAGAGCAGGGAAGTGACAACGCTATCAAAGGCCTGCCGCTCATCTATCGATTGCTCCTGTCTGTCCGCCACCTTAAGCCATCAATGCCCGTCACCTATCAGTCGCCGCTCCATGCTGTCTCTTCCATCATCTGTTGCATCATGGCACTGTCGACCGAAATGTCACAAGGGCATTGAGGAAACTTTATATTAGACGATAAGCAGTTTTAAAATAACTTTCCTTGATGTGAACATCTTATCTTCCCCCTATTTATTATTAAGCTGCAGTGACTTATAGCTGCCAGACATATCTGTGTTTCCTTTGTGGTGTATTGTGGCTTCTCTCCTCATGTTCAGACACTAAGATTAAAGTGTCTGCGTCGGTACAGTGAGCTAAAGCAGGTGGTGCTGAGTGCAAGCACAAATCAAACACAGGTTGCCTCTGCACAAATCACAAAGCTGACATCTTTTGATGTTTGCTTCACAAATCAGAGGAATACAGTATGTGGCTGTGTTTAATGTGAAAAACAAATGTTAACACCGTCTTTATTGTTTTCTGCAGGGTGTGGACAAGTTGCGTGCCTATGTACCAGATGCTGTGTGGTACGACTATGAGACGGTAAGAATATTTCCAGCTTTTTTTAATTGGTAGATTTAGATAGATGGGTTCTTAGATAGGTAAGAAAGATTATCTCTGAAGAATTTCCTTCAACCTTCACATGTTTCGCAAAAAACAAAACTGGAATGCCACTCAGAGTGCATACCTTTGTCAAAGCCCAAACCACTTTTAAAACAGCACAATTCGGATCTTTATTTGGATCTGCACCAAACTGAATATGCCTGTTATTTTCTACCCAGATCCATGCATTATTCCTTTGGGAATTCGGTGAAAATGTCAAAAGACACCGAAAGAAAGAAATTCCAGGATCCACCCCTTTCTCTGGATCCATACCAAAATGTTGTTCTTCTTTTTTGGCACATTTTCCATCCTTCCACCAGGATTCGTGGAAATCTGCTTGGTAGTTTTTTGTGTAATCATGCAGACAAACAAACAGGGATGAAAACATAACCTTCTTGGCAGAGGTAATGATG